CACTCCTTCAAGGAAAAATACCATATGAGAAATTATTCCACAAAGTTTCAAGTTACTCACATTTACGAGTATTTGGTTGCTTATGTTTCATTTCCACTCATGCACAACACCCTTCAAAGTTTGTTGCTCGGGCCTCTCAATGTATTTTCCTTGGCTATCCTAATGGTAAAAAGGGCTATCGTGTCTTTGAGGTCATGGTTTCGCGGGATGTTTCTTTCTTTGAAACCACATTCCCTTTCAAAAATGGTTGCCAACCAGCTGCACCTTCTAGTCATCCCGACACATCACAATTCTCTCCTCTCACTAATGCATCCACATTACCATTTGACATACCACCAATTCCACCTCTCGTGCCTTCCTCTCCTTCCACGGAACCACCTCCATCTAAACATGATTCTCCTCATCCAACTAGTCCCAATCCACTCAATATTCCACTTGAGACACTACCAGCCCAAACTACCCTAGACTTTCCTTCCTCACAAAATACGACGGCCACAATTCCTTTTTCTCCACAAAATGTTCTCTCTCGTCGTATACATCGACAGACCAAACCACCTACTTATTTATAGGATTTTCACATCGAGACGGCTCTCCCCTCAAGGACTGCTCCATCGTCATCCATGAATGTGGTCCGGTCTTCAGGTACAAATCACCCTTTATCTCAATTTTTATCTTATGAAAACTTTTCTCCTGCTCATAGAATTTTTACCTCACAACTCACATTACTTAAAGAGCCTAACAGTTTTTTAGAAGCTGTCCAATCTCCACAGTGGCGTGAGGCCATACGGCAAGAAATAGCAGCTTTGCAAGCAAATGCTACTTGGAGTTTAGTCACTTTGCCCTCTCATAAGTGTCCCATTGGATGCAAATGGGTGTATAAAATCAAATTGAGGGCTGATGGGACAATCGAGCGGCATAAAGCCTGGTTGGTGGCAAAAGGCTTCAGTCAAGTTGAAGGGGTTGATTATAGGGAGACCTTTGCTCCCATGGCCAAAATGGTTACTGTTCGTACTTGACTCATTGTGGCTGCTTTGCGTGGTTGGCATTTACATCAATTAGATGTCAACAATGCCTTTTTGCACGGAGATCTTGATGAAGAGGTATACATGTCCTTACCTCCTGGTTTCGAACGAAAGGGGGAGACTCGTGTTTGCAAACTTCACAAATCACTATATGGTTTAAAACAGGCTTCTAGGCAATGGTTTATAAAATTGTCCACTGCACTCAAATACGCTGGCTTCCACCAATCTCGATCTGATTATTCTTTATTCATCCGATGTCGTCAAGGTAGCTTCCTAGCCTTACTTGTGTATGTTGATGAAGTGATTTTGGCTGGAAACAATCTACAGGATATAGAGAACACCAAGCTCTTCTTGTCCAAGCAATTCAAACTCAAAGACTTGGGGCAACTTAAATATTTCCTTGGCATAGAAGTTGCAAGATCAAGACATGGAATTACTTTATCACAGCGCAAATATGCCTTGGAAATCTTGGATGATACTGGATTCTTGGGTGCTAAGCCTTCTCAATTCCCTGTAGAGCAAAATATGTCACTCACACAATCAGATGGAAATCTTTTGGATGACGCTTCATTATACAGAAGATTGGTTGGGAGGTTAATCTACCTAACCATAACAAAGCTAGATTTGACTTATGTTGTCCATGTATTGAACCAGTTTCTGGACAAATCATGAGATCCACACATGGAGGCGGCTCACAAAGTGCTCAAATATATCAAGCAAACACCAGGACAAGGCATCCTCTTACCATCCACAGGTTCGCTTCAATTACGAGCATTTTGTGATGCAGATTGGGCTCGTTGCAAGGACACACGGAGATCAACTACAGGCTATTGTATTCTACTTGGCCAAGCACTAGTTTCTTGGAAGACCAAGAAACAAACTACAGTATCTCGTTCGAGTGCCGAAGCAGAGTATCGTGCTATGGCTACCACATGCTGTGAGGTTACATGGTTGAGAAACATGTCGAAGGATTTGAGGGTAAATCACATTCAACTAGTTAGCTTATTTTGTGATACTCAAGCAGCTATGCACATAGCATCAAACCCCGTATTTCATGAGCGAACCAAACACATAGAGATAGACTGTCACTTGGTACGTGATAAGATCCAAGAAGGAATGATTCGGACGGCCTATATTCGACAAACCCCTAAGCTCCACACAATTCGAAGCATTACTCAGCAAGTTGGGTGTCATCAACATACACTCCAACTTGAATGACACCCAACTTGAGGGGGAGTGTTAAAGGAAACACAACTTGATTTATGCTACTTAATGTAGTAAATTGATTGCTATATAATTTCTTTCCATACATGTGCAAATTAGACTTGATTATAGGAATAGAATAAGGAGTAGAATAAGATGTGTTAGTATTTGTATAAATAGGTGTCTTGCCTTTGTAATATAATCAATACAAAAATTCTAATCAAATACAGAAAACTTTCATTGACTGCCTTTTGTTTGTACAAATTTCGGTTAAAGATTGAAAATTTTCACCAAACTCAATCTTTCAATATCCTCATCAGTTTTGGGGGGACGCTATTCTCACTTCCACATATTTAATCAACCGAACACCCACTCCACTCCTTCAAGGAAAAATACCATATGAGAAATTATTCCACAAAGTTTCAAGTTACTCACATTTACGAGTATTTGGTTGCTTATGTTTCATTTCCACTCATGCACAACACCCTTCAAAGTTTGTTGCTCGGGCCTCTCAATGTATTTTCCTTGGCTATCCTAATGGTAAAAAGGGCTATCGTGTCTTTGAGGTCATGGTTTCGCGGGATGTTTCTTTCTTTGAAACCACATTCCCTTTCAAAAATGGTTGCCAACCAGCTGCACCTTCTAGTCATCCCGACACATCACAATTCTCTCCTCTCACTAATGCATCCACATTACCATTTGACATACCACCAATGCCACCTCTCGTGCCTTCCTCTCCTTCCACGGAACCACCTCCATCTAAACATGATTCTCCTCATCCAACTAGTCCCAATCCACTCAATATTCCAATAGCAGCTTTGCAAGCAAATGGTACTTGGAGTTTAGTCACTTTGCCCTCTCATAAGCGTCCCATTGGATGCAAATGGGTGTATAAAATCAAATTGAGGGCTGATGGGACAATCGAGCGGCATAAAGCCTGGTTGGTGGCAAAAGGCTTCAGTCAAGTTGAAGGGGTTGATTATAGGGAAACCTTTGCTCCCATGGCCAAAATGGTGACTGTTTGTACTTTACTCACTATGGCTGCTTTGCGTGGTTGGCATTTACATCAATTAGATGTTAACAATGTCTTTTTGCTTGGAGATCTTAATGAAGAGGTATACATGTCCTTGCCTCCTAGTTTCGGACAAAAGGGGGAGACTTGTGTTTATAAACTTCACAAATCACTATATGGCTTAAAACAGGCTTCCAGGCAATGGTTTATAAAATTGTCCATTGCACTCAAGTACACTGGCTTCCACCAATCTCGGTCCGATTATTCTTTATTCGTCCGATGTCGTCAAGGTAGCTTCCTAGCCTTACTTGTATATGTTGATGATGTGATTTTGGCTGGAAACAATCTACAGGATATAGAGAACACCAAGCTCTTCTTGTCCAAGCAATTCAAACTCAAAGACTTGGGGCAACTTAAATATTTCCTTGGCATAGAAGTTGCAAGATCAAGACATGGAATTACTTTATCACAGCGCAAATATGCCTTGGAAATCTTGGATGATACTGGATTCTTGGGTGCTAAGCCTTCTCAATTCCCTGTAGAGCAAAATATGTCACTCACACAATCAGATGGAAATCTTTTGGATGACGCTTCATTATACAGAAGATTGGTTGGGAGGTTAATCTACCTAACCATAACAAAGCTAGATTTGACTTATGTTGTCCATGTATTAAGCCAGTTTATGGACTAACCACGAGAACCACACATGGAGGCGGCTCACAAAGTGCTCAAATATATCAAGTGAACACTAGGACAAGGCATCCTCTTACCATCCACAATCCACAGGTTCGCTTCAATTACGAGCATTTTGTGATGTAGATTGGGCTCGTTGCAAGGACACACGGAGATCAACTACAGGCTATTGTATTCTACTTGGCCAAGCACTAGTTTCTTGGAAGACCAAGAAACAAACTACAGTATCTCGTTCGAGTGCCGAAGCAGAGTATCGTGCTATGGCTACCACATGCTGTGAGGTTACATGGTTGAGAAACATGTCGAAGGATTTGAGGGTAAATCACATTCAACTAGTTAGCTTATTTTGTGATACTCAAGCAGCTATGCACATAGCATCAAACCCTGTATTCCATGAGCGAACCAAACACATAGAGATAGACTGTCACTTGGTACGTGATAAGATCCAAGAAGGAATGATTCGGACGGCCTATATTCGACAAACCCCTAAGCTCCACACAATTCGAAGCATTACTCAGCAAGTTGGGTGTCATCAACATACACTCCAACTTGAATGACACCCAACTTGAGGGGGAGTGTTAAAGGAAACACAACTTGATTTATGCTACTTAATGTAGTAAATTGATTGCTATATAATTTCTTTCCATACATGTGCAAATTAGACTTGATTATAGGAATAGAATAAGGAGTAGAATAAGATGTGTTAGTATTTGTATAAATAGGTGTCTTGCCTTTGTAATATAATCAATACAAAAATTCTAATCAAATACAGAAAACTTTCATTGACTGCCTTTTGTTTGTACAAATTTCGGTTAAAGATTGAAAATTTTCACCAAACTCAATCTTTCAATATTTAGCATTAAATACAATGGTGGGCATTTGATGCATAAAGAAAAATTTCTTATCCAAACAAAAGAGACTTTAGGCAACGTATGTCACTGTGGTTTGACGAAAGGGTGAAGGATAACTTGATCATTTTAAAGGTTGGGATGAACTTTCAACTCTGACAATAAATAGCGGACAAATATTTCATTTCCCACTATAAATAACAGATATTGTGCATACAAAAAGCAAGATTGGCAGCAAAACAAACTACAATTTCATTATTTTTGTTTTTGTCTTCTTCTCTTTGCAAAAATATGCTGATCCCATTACTCTTCAACTTCATCACTATCCTCCTCCTTATATCCTTCATCTTCCTGATGGTAAATAAATGGCAAAAATCCAAACCCAACCATCATAAAAAATTGCCTCCAGGTCCCTGGAAACTACCATTAGTTGGTCATTTGCACCATATATTTGGTTCACATCCACACCAAGCTTTTGCAAATTTATCGAAGAAATATGGACCTTTGATGCACCTAAAAATCGGTGAAGTTTCTACGATCGTCGTATCATCTCCATTTATTGCGAAAGAGGTTTTGAAAATTCAGGATCCAGTATGTGCTGATAGGCCAGAAACTTTAGCAGTCAAGATCATGTGGTATAACTTTATTGATGTTGCATTCTGCCCTTATGGCGAGTACTGGAGACAAATGCGTAAAATATGCATTATAGAATTGCTTAGTTCGAAGAATGTACGCTCATTTGAGTCGATCAGGCTAGATGAGGTCTCGCACCTCGTTGAATCCATTCGATCATCTTCCCTAGAAGTACCTGTAAATTTAAGTGACAAAATTTTCTTTTATATAAGTTCTATAACATGTAGGGCTGCATTTGGTAAAGTTTGCAGGGATCCAGACACATTGATAATGGTTTTGAAGCAGGCAGTAGCCTTAGCAGGAGGGTTTAATTTTGTTGATTTGTTTCCCTCTTCAAAAATGCTTCATATTTTCTGTTGGAATAAATTTAAATTGTTGAAAATGCGTCGTAAACTTGATTCAATTCTTGACGACATCATTGATGAACACGAAAAAAACATTGCGAATGGCAATGGAGATTCCGGTGATGAAGATTTTGTTGATGTTTTTCTGAGAATGAAGCGGAGCGGGAAACTTGAGTTTCCAATAACAAATCAAAACATCAAGGCTATCCTTTTTGTAAGTACCATGGAAACTATATCTTGCTTCTACCTCTTATCATCTTCTTTGATGTTAACTAATTCTTTCGTTTATATCTTGATAACCTTCAAAATCGAATTTCAGATTTTTGCACGACACTTGGTATCAGAATCGAATAATTATTAATACACACACTCATATTATACTCTTTAGGATATGTTTTCTGCTGGTACAGAAACTGCATCAACAACAGTAGATTGGGCTATGGTTGAGCTGATGAAAAACCCTCTCGTGATGGCGAAGGCACAAACTGAAATACGACAAGCTTTAAAGGATAAGAAAAGGGTCAACGAAAATGATATTCAAACCCTACAATACCTAAAGTTGGTGATCAAAGAAACCCTAAGATTGCATCCTTCCATTCCTTTAATTCCAAGAGCATGTCGGGAGGAATTTGAAGTTAATGGCTATATAATACCTTTCAAAGCCAAAGTTATGATCAACATATGGGCCATGGGAAGAAATCCTGATATTTGGCATCGCCCAGAAAGCTTTGAACCAGAGAGATTTGAGAACAGTTCTATTGATTTCTTGGGAGCTCATTTTGAGTATCTTCCATTTGGATCAGGAAGAAGGTTTTGTCCAGGTATGACATTTGGTTTAGCAACGGTCGAGCTTTTTTTAGCTCAACTTCTCTATCACTACGACTGGAAACTTCCTCAAGGAATGAATTCTAATGATTTAGACATGACTGAGGCCGAAGGACTTGCTGTATCAAGAAAAGAAAATCTTTATTTGATTGCCAAACCGTATAATCCTTCAATCATTGATTGATTTCCATTAGAAGGAAAAGTGAGAAAAGTTCGATTTCGAACGGGATTTACTATGCACTTGTGTCAACTCAATTTGATCCGACGATATTATCGCAATCTCGTGAAGTATTTTATTAAATTGTGTATCAAATATGACAAATTTCGATAATCTAGAGTAGGCATATGTTTCATGTCCTTGAAATCTGTAATTCATTATTGTTTAGATCACAAGTTCTTCTATATTTACCAAGAAACACTGTATGAGAGGATTGAGACGTTGAGTCTTGTAACAAAGATTCAGATTGCAAAAAAATTAAAATTGGGTAATCTATTTGAGACTTCACTGAAAGTTCGTTGTCCATAATTTAAATTAATCCAATTTCTTTGTAGATAAAAACATGAGAGTTCTTTTCTTTAATTTGATTTCAAATTATAATTAGCTAATATTAATTTCATTTCAAATTATAATTAGCTAATAATTTTAATCGAACACGACATCTTAACAATTCAATTATTATTATCGGACAAAATATTGAAACACATATCAATGTGACAATGAGTAAACCACGTGAAGAGTGCATTTGATGTTTGTAGAATAGGAAAGATTTGATCCTATCTTGTATCCGTTTGATATATTAATTTATTCTTTCATCATTGTACTAGATATTTGTTAATTTGGATTTATATTATTGTCTTTATGTGATTGAGTTTTTTGTTAGAATCTGCTAGCCTTTTGGTGTGGTTTCAAAAGATTCGGTGATAGTAGATTTTTATCCTAGAGTACTTGATAGTACCATATTTTCTTAGCGATGAACTTGCATGCCTTTAATTTGCATAAACTTAACAGAGCTGATCTCCTGCCCACAATAGGCAGAATAACAATTACCCAAAGCTGACTAGACGTTGACCCAGAGCACTTGATCGGAACATATATACTTAGTGATGTATATAGAACAAAGTATAAAAGTCTTTAATTTGCATAAACCTCCCTCCACCTCCCCCCCCTCCCCCCATTTTAAAAAGAAAATTATATTATATTTAGCCTTATGAAAATTCCCGCCCCACAGTAGGCAGAATAACAGTTGTCCAAGTCTCAACACTGTCGATGTGATGTTGCCCCATCAGCAGTCAAGCCGTATTTTTAACTTTTCAAAAAGAAAAAGATTTTACTTGTTGACATGACAATGCCATGTCGACAAGTAAACATTATAACTCCTGTCCACATCATTTCTAATTTACTTAAATAGACACAAACACTTTAAAATCATCCACTAATATTTCTTTCCACTAAATTCTTTTGAACTTTTTTATAAAACCCTAAGATTCATAAAATATATATCGTCTTCATCTAAAACCAAAAACAACAATGCCAGTTACATCATTAGAGCAAATATATACATATGCAGAAATATATGAAGAAGAATTTGAAAAAGTAAATATTACTTTTTGTTGTAAGTTTGATGAATTTAATCTGTGAAGAATTTTTTATTTGTGTTTAGATTATTTCATAATGTACCTATTCAATTCAAGTTGTATCATAAGAAATTCATTAAGAATGATTTGAGTTTTTCTGTTGAGATTATCATTTTTTTCCTTGATTTTCTTAAATTGAAAACATTTGTTTTATTATAAAAGGATTGAAGGAATTGTGATGGGATCGATATATAAAAAGGGTATAAATGTGTAGTTTAAATGAATGAATTTAACAAGTACAATATATAGAATGTGTGGATGAAAAAATTATTTTTTTAAAATTTTAGAATTTTAATATGGATAGATATACAACAATGATGGATCATTTTTGGTAGTTTCCTTAATTTGTATTCAACCAAAGTTTTGGAAAGCTTCCTCCTTTTAATTTTTTATGTGAAAGTAAAATTTTGGAAGAGTTATGAAATAGATAAACTAACAAAAATTAAAAAATTTCACGTAGTTTGTATATATATAATCTGTAAAATAACTAAAGAACTATTTTTCTCATTTTTTCAAAAGTGTGATCAAATTTTGAACTACTTAACTATGTTCGTCAACTAGTGTTTCCAAACTCTAGTCTTCACCATCACTTTGAGTAAGTTTGAGAGATTGCTGACATTACATTTTAAAAAAATGACACTACATTTAAACAATTTTCGTTTTGAACAAATAAGTTTACTAGTTAAAAAGATAAATACCTTAATTAAATTGCAGGTTTGTTTGCATTAATTAAGCGGTAATTAAGTAATTAATTAATAATAATTTATTATTATTATTATTAGCACCACTATAGGGTTTAAATCCACTTATTTTTAGCTTAGCTACACATCAGTTGCTGTTTGATGCAAACTATTTGCTGATTACAAATTCCTATATTCTTATTTCTCCAATTATATCATTTGCATTAATTTTGATTATATTTTTTCAATCCTTAATATATATACCTCTAAAGAGGTATAAAACATAATATTTCATTATCTTTGTTAAAATAATATTTTTTTTAAAATGAAGAAATTGTTGAAATATATTGATATGAAAATAAGTGTAATTATTTTTTACTCTACATTTTTAGTTAACTACATTCCATTAGGAGAAAGTAAAAATACTTATTTTATTGTCGTGTTTTTAAATATGCAAGATAAACTACAAATACAAAAATTGGACAAAATATTTGGGATTGTAAAAATGAAAAAATAATAATAAAAAAAAATTGAAGACCTTTATTTTAATTTACGTAGAAAAGTTAAAATGGGGTGGGAATATATTTCTCTATAAATAATACTTCATAAAATTATCATGTTAACTCTAATAAAGTAAAAATACTTATTTTATTCTCATATTTTTAAATATGCAAGATAAATTACAAATACAAAAGTTCGACAAAATATTTGAGAGTGTAAAACTTAAAAAATAAAATAAAATTGAAGACCTTCATTGTAATTAAAACGTAGAAAAGTTAGGTCAATTTGATAAACTTGGGGGGCTGAAAACTAGAAGAAAAAAATCATATTTTGTGTTTTGGGAAAATTAATTAGTAAGCAAATTTATTTTAAAAAATAAAATAATTTGGCTTATTTGAGATAAATAAATCTAAGAAATTAGGCAGATTTGTTCTTATTCTGCTCTTCAATTCTTGATCTAGAATCGAGAATCAAATCGAACCATTTGGTTCTCGATTCGGATACCCGTTCGGGTATTTAACTTAAAAAGAACTGTTCGATTTGATTCAATTTAATTCGGTCTGATCCGATATGATCTGATTCGATTTGAGAGTTTTGTCTGACTCTAAGTGCATAATAAAAGTATTTTGAAAACACAGGGCTATTTGTGTAATTCTTAGAAGAGAAAGGAGTTTCACATAAAATTCTGATTCCCATTTGGATCGTGCGAATATTCTATTTCTCCCATTGACAGTCAAAGCGCTTGAGATATGAGACACACGGTCACTGGCATGCAAATTTTAAGTACAAACTCATGAGAGCATGTTTGTGTAAGTTTAAAATAATAAATTACTTTTATATAATTTTTCAAAGCTCGTGACGTAGGCCTTAAATTCATTTCGAAGGTCGCTTAATTTTTGAAGCTCTTGACAATATCTTTCATTTTTGTTTTCGAGATCTTTAATTTCCAAAACTTCGAATGCTACACTTCAATTTCAATTTCAAAAATCATCCAATTTAAGAGAAATCATAAGAGTACGCATCCAACTTTTGATAGTTAGATTCTAAGAACAAATCAATTTTGCTACGCCAATGAAAGAGGAAAAACCATAGACGGACTTTTGGTTTGGGAATCTGGCCGTGTTGTTGTTTTGTTTAATAAAACTTTGATACTTTTTAACTGATAAAATTAATTTTAACCACATATTTTATAAGACTCACAACTTTTTTTATCACAAATTTGATCCTTTTTTTTTTTAATCAAAATTTATTAAATTTTTTTATCAAAAGTTCTATCACAAATGCCCATAATCCGTTTCATTTTGATTTATCCTTTTTTATCTTAAATATTTTTTTTTTCGTGTGGCTAACCTTCGTTTTTAATGCAACGTAAAAGAATATATAGAGGTGATTTTGATGATGGGTCAACAATCAACTGAACTAATAAGGCACGTGTACAAAGTTGTTAACCATGGAGTTAAATTTTCTAAATGAGTGACAGGTGGTACGAAATTAAGTTCAATGATCATTTGAATTTTTAACCCTCTATTTGATAAACTTAAATTCAATAAACGATCATAAGGACAACGCATCTAAAAGTTGGTCACACAACTTGGACAAGTACTAATTTAGAAATCTAAAATTGGCGATTTCCGAAAGTTTTCTATTAGAAAGCACTGAGAATCAAGGCCTAAGCCATTGTTTATCAAAAATACAAATCTAGTATCATAGTTTATATTCATCTTAAACAACGCGTCTCTTATTCAACCTATCGACGTAGAAATATTTGTGTCTATGAAACATGATTGTTTGAGAGACGGCGATGAAAAATAATTGAAGAATGAAAATAAATTTGCTTTCTTGCTAAGGCTCTACTTTGGGATGAGAATTGAGGCACTCGTACTAGTGGAATAAAGTAGATCCTTTATTATCTGAAGTTTTCAACATTTACGTGTGCACCCCTTATCGATTATGTGATCACTAATCTCCGAAAATGTTGTAAATTTTAATTATTCTTTTGTCCAGTATTTCTCTAATCTTAGTTCGATAAGTCAAATTTCGAGTGCATAAAAATCCACGAGTCTACATACATTTGGCTCTCAGATTTTGGTTTTATGTAAATAAAGTTTTTAATAATTCATGTTTTGTTTAAGATAAAAAGATTGAATTTATAATTCCTTGTATGGCATGTACACTTGGATGTGTCAAAAGGACGAGTTCATCTAATTGAATCATCTTATCCAAACTCATTACTGGTCAAAACTAGCACATTTTAAAATATGGTCCGAACTAGGTTTTGGAAGTCTCAACGCATTGTATCAACCCGTGAACCACCATTAAGTCGGATTTTCAAATTGAGGATATTAGATCATGCATTGTGTTCTAGACGAAAAACTGAAAAATCTGATTGATTTAGATTTGGTTGAAAAATCAGCTCAAAAAATTGCAAGGATTGAATTTCCTCAAATGTTTTTCAAGTCTTAAACTTTTGAAATGTTTTCGATTTATAAAGATTTTCTTGAAAAATATTGTCGAAAAGAATCATTTGTTTCTTCTATGTGTTTAAGTGCTGGCCTCTCATTCCAATACATTTGCATATAGTATTAGCTACACAGAATTTATGTGTATGTAACACTACCTATAACAAATCTTTACACGTGGATATACTTTGTTTGACTGAGATGTAGGTTAGAACA